GCCTCGATGTGAGCGAGTACCTTCAACGTGCCGAAGAAGCCCGACAACTTGCGCGTCTCCGTATCAAGAATCAACAGACGATAGACAGCCACCGTTACAACCTTCGACGACGCTTCGTGGAATACCAGCCCGGTCAACGTGTTTGGGTGTGGACGCCGATACGCCGACGTGGACTAAGTGAAAAGCTTCTGCGACGCTACTTCGGACCGTACAGGGTGGTTCGACGTCTCAGCCCACTTGATTACGAGGTTGTCCCCGACGGCATCACGAACTCTCAACGACGCCGATCGCGACCTGAAGTCGTGCATGTCACGCGCCTCAAGCCGTTTCATGCGCGTTAACAAACTTAAACAGTGTTTTTTTTTGTATTACTGTTTCATCGCAATTTATTCATTGTACTTTCTTGCATTATTATTGTACCTTCATCTTTAGTTAAAGCATCGGGACGATGCCTTTTTTCAGAGGGGGGCAATGCCACGTTCCATTTCCCAAGTTTTCGTTATCGTCCCAAAACACCACACGATTCTCAGCGCAAACCGCGCCTGCAGTTTTCCAGAAGGTTCCGGACTGTAGTAGATCATTTCGATAAGATCACGCCCACTGTGCGAACAGTACAGATTGTTCTGGAACCTACGCCACCGCCAGCGATAACGCTAGAACATTCGATGGCAAGAGTATAAATGCCGACGCGCTTCGCCACTTGTCAGTAGTTGTTGATCGAAGGCCGATGCTCCGTTCGCCGCTATCAGTCCGAGACTGCTATCTGTGCGAGAGTGCTGCTGTAATTGGACTTTCCTTTTACCGGGCACAGGTTCGCCCAAATAAACAGTTAAATCCCAACACGAAGTCTCCTGTCTTCGGCCACGTCACGACCCCGTGACAATATAATGAAAGAAGCCTGCTGTGCGACTGCTGCCGAATGTGAAGCGGCGAGCGTTGCTCGCGTCAAGGAGCTCTATGCGGAGTTCGACAACGCGCCCGGAAACGTCGACGTCATTTATGACGGCACCTGGCTTACGCGCGGACATAGCTCGCATATATGTGTTGGCTGCATTGTTGAGATGCATAGTGGCCTCGTGATAGACCATATCGTGCTATCAAACTTTTGCCTGGCTCGCACCACAGGACCCAAGGAAGGAGAAGCAGGACATTCTGCCTGGCTCATTCAGCATGCCCCTCTGTGCCAGAAGAATGTTGATTGTACTGCTGGCCAGATGGAAGTGGAGGCAGCACTACGCTTGTTTGAGTGGTCACTTGAAAAGCACAAGCTTCGTTATACGACAATGCTGTTGGACGGCGACAGCAGGACATTCCATGCACTCACAGAAAAAGAGGTGTACGGCTTCATAAAGGTGGCCAAAAAGGACTGCATAAATCATGTACACAAGCGTATGGAAGATGCTTTACATACCCTTGTAGAGAAAAAAAAAGCTCAAGGTGGCTCACTTGGTGGAAAGGGCAGACTTACGCAACAAAAGATAAAGAAGATCACCTTAAACAATGGCTACGCATTGAGAAGCCACAGGAACGATGTTCCAGGTATGCAGAAGGCTGTTCTAGCAACTTTGAACCACATGTCTTCAACTGACGAGGCACCAAAGCATGACCTTTGCCCTGAAGGCCCAGAATCCTGGTGCGAATTTCAGAGAGCTCTTGCGAAAAATGAGAAGCCGCCACCACACAAGGACATCCTGCCCGATTTCGTAACTGAGGCATTGGAAAGAAATATATGTAGCGCGAGGCGAAAGAACCAACACAGGAAAGAATAGACTGAGAGGACAGAGCGCTACTAGCAACAACATGTTTATTTTCGACCTCCAAGCCGCTTTTAAGCCATAATCGTCAGGCGAGCAAGCAGATAAGCACGTGTATTCAGATAAATGCACGATAATGTCATCTACCTACAAGAAAAAAACTATAAATAGGACAACAAAAAAACCACACAGATAAAATCACGTATCACTGCGTATGCAGGAACGCCAGTTCCTTGGGTGACAAGGCAATTGAAGGCTTGCTAATACATACATCTCCAAGAGCATCAATAAGTTCGGCTTCTATGATCAACCGAGTCATCTCATCCTTATGCCGACCAACAATGATTGTACTCTGGAACAAGGCCGGCACCCACACGCGTGAATGTGAAGAGCGAGAAAACCTTCTCGCGGCAGTTTATCCGCCTTGTAATTGTGTTCTCTCAATCGCTCATTCACACACCTACTGGTTTGGCCGACATATTTTTTACCACATGTGAACAGAATAAGATAAATGTCAAACGAAATGCACTCCACAAATTTGTGAGTATGCCTTTTTGTGCACAACACCTTTTCCCCACGTGACGGATTCGTCAGCACATACAACTTCCCAAGTTTATCACGTACTGAAAATAGCACCCTAATATTGTCCCGATGTGCCACTTTCTTAAGGTTATGTGACAGCTGGTGAACATATGGAATTATGGCCGTGCGTCTTGATTTTGCCGGTGAATCGATAGAACATTAGATTGGCTTGACCTTGTGCGAATCCTTTTCAACTCTTTTTCCGCAACTGAAACTAAAACATGATCCGGATAGCCCGATCCTTGCAAACGTGTGATCTGATTATGAAAGCTCTGCTTCATAAGGTGCGCACATGACTTGTTCAATGCGTTTTTGAGGCAAGTCGTCGCGATGGCTCTCTTGGTTAGTTTGGAATGACCGGAATGAAATGGGAGTAAAGCTTTCTGAGCACGCGGATCATAGCACTAGCATAGCTGGTTGTCAGAACACTGAACACTTAAATCTAAAATCCTTATTCGTCCGTCGCTAGGCCATTCTACTGTCACTTCAAGGGGCTTAAGACCATCACGAAACACATTCAACACACTAGTACTCTCACTTTGGAAACTTTCCCTCGAGCTGTCATTGAAAATAATAAAATCATCTACATATCGGAACACTTTCTTAGCCGATATGCCACAATTCTATCAAGTTTTGCCAGAAACACATTGCTCAAGACAGGCGCGATGCAAGAGCCGATACATAAACCCTGCTTTTGCAAAAGAATATCATTGTTACACTTAATGAACGTCGAAGTAAGATAAAATTCTAACAGAGTAAGAAAATTATCAACGGATATGCCTGACTCAGAAGAAAACTTAACAGCACCAAATTCATCAATGCTACTTCTAACACATTTTAGCATTTGTGGATGGGGGAGGGAATAGTACAGGTCTGTCACGTCAATTGAGAAGGCTTTTAGCCCTTCATTTTCATGAGCTTCCATGAGCCTTAAAATACAATCGGAACTCTTGACTGAAAACGGATCTCAGACTTCGAGAAGATTGAGTTTGTCTAACAAAAAAGCAGCGAGTTCTTTCTGCCAAGTCCCTATTTCCGAGACTATTACTCAAAAAGGAGTGTTAACTTTGTGAGTTTTTGCATTAAAAAATACATTGAGGCTATTCTTCTTACTTTTTTGAATACTTTTTAGAGTTCCAACTACGTTCATGTTTTTGCACAATTGGATAGCCTTTGCTTTTACTTTGTTCGACGATACGCCATCTTTTAGATGGAACACCCTAAAAATAGCATCATTAGCTTTTTCCAAGAAGCATAAACGCGAAAAAACTGCGAAGCCACCTTCCTTATCTCCCTGCAAAATACACAGCGAATTATTGCCCAGGTACGACAAAACACGCTTAACAGGAATGCGAGAATACACAGGTTTACAAGGCGAAATGGCATCTACTCCTTTAGATGTAATTCTTTCTTCCTAGCCTACAGTCGCACGACGTGCCACCTCGCGCTACGTATATTTCTTCCAAATGTTTCACCAACAAGCCCCCATCGCCACTTTTGTCGAGGCATTGGAGCCTGTGTTTAGGCGTAAATTATTTTACAACAAAAGTTACAGCACTTTACCCAGGCTTTTTATGCAGGTATTTCTGTCCGTGCACAGTCGAGCTAAACCAAGTCTTCGAAAACGAAGCGACGCATTTACACGTGATCGACAATTCACGCGTATCCACGTGCGGCCGTTCTTTGACGGCTTCAATATGTCACCGCTTGACAAGTTGAGTGAGTTGGAGGAACGAATTTCGACTCGCATGCAAACGCAAAACTAGGACACCTATCAGGTAGCGCTAGAGTGACATGTTTCGAAGGACGACAGTGGTAGCGGAGAATGCGACGGAGCGCCACCATTGCCACCACCAGCAGCACACATGAAGCGGTAGCGATTCTCCACTGACCAGTTGGTCGGTGGCATTTCGGGTGCCACAGCGGTCGCATTCACAAGCTCACGTGCTTCTTCCAAAGCGCCTAACACTACGGGAATCAAGCTACTCTGGAAGCGCCGTGCCGCCGCGCGCATGTGCAACTGCACCTGTTTTCCTGCAGAGGCCACGAAAGCAGCACCACTTTTCATGCTTTACTTCTTTTACCTTGTAAGCCACATAGAAACAAACGAAAATAAACAAAATACATAATCGAAATTTAAGCCCTTATTCCAGTACGCTTTAAATAGTCACAGCAAAGCTATTAGGACTTCATATTTGTGGTTCATAGCTCTTGCGCTAGGGGCGCGACATACCGGTTTTGGTTACTTTTCAATGCGATTTAAAAATGTAAATCATACTCGGATCACAAAAGTATGCTGCCACCTGTCACCGTGATTCACGCTCTTTTCCTTTCCATCAGAACTTGTCTAATCACTCGTTTTGGCCAGTTGTAGGTTCCTTTAAGGTATGTATGTCAACATACATATTTTATGATCAATCTGTCATTCGCACACTGTATTTTCTTGTTGTATTCACCATTTTTCACTTTGCTGACCAGCATCTTTGACCTGTGGACCTTTTCATTTGACCCCTCCCCCTTGTGTAAGACTGACACGGCGCTGCAAGTATCTCTGTAAATAAGAATTGTACCTATATATGGTAAAGTGAAATGCTGATGGTAAGAGATGAAGCACCTACCTCGAGTGTCTGATTTTATCAATGGAGGTACAGTGAAGCAACTCACGAAAACCCATCTCCTGTGCTGCCTGTGGGAGCTTGGTCTCCTTGGTCAGCAATGCAGGCCTGCAGCTCGCATGCCAAGGACAGTGATTGACTGGCGCACTGGTTCCAGATGGCTGTGGTGCTGTGACTAGGCTGATCCTGGGACTGGTGCCGCAGCTGCACCTGCAGCTCGAGGAAAGCCTCCTTGAGGTCTAGGTAGCGGGAACGGGCCTCCAGGAGCTCTTCCGACTGCTGCTCCTGCAGGCCACGGCTCAGGGCCAGCTGCGCCCGCAGCTCCTCAGCCTCCGCACGAAGCTGCACATTACACCACCGCTGCCTTTAGCTAGAACACTAACAACTGTTCCTTCAAAAAACCTCCTGTCTCACTCTCACAAGTTTGTTACAACAAAAAATGGAGCATTGCCAATTTATTGAAGGTTGTCTTATCGTCCTGGTCACTTCTTGCCCTCCAGTGTGCCTTGGTTCACAATCACGTTCAACTTTCCACTTCAATCCAATTAATTCATGAGCTTTTCACTGAAACACCAGCACCGACTTTTCAATGAGTCACAGAGGCTCACTCAGATAGAGTCACGATTCTAAGCGTGCCTGGGTGAGTAATGTTTTGGTGGTTGAGGAAAATTTTCGTCTGGGTGACCCAAAAGGGCAAAATATATGTCATGAATGAGCGCCACATTTTTATGCTTGTCTATACAGTTGAACCCCTTTCTCAGAGACACATAGATATAAAAGACACCGATGTGCCTACAGTAAAATACGGGTCGGTAAGAAAATGCATTTAAGGTACCTTACTTATACCTTTGCGAGATGTTACCTTCATGACACTTCGTTCACGCTGCCATAACACCGAATAGATGGGTAGCATGTGATGATTGTCTTTAAGAGACATCTCATATAAAAGACAGAAAATGTTACCCGAAGCATGCCTCTTATAAAGGGGTTTGACTGCAGTTCTATCCACTTAGTTTCAGCATCACTGTCAACTTAGTGTTGCCTTACATTTATAATCAAATACACTGACATACACTTCAACACATAGTTTAAAATATTGATTGCTTAGAGGTGTGATTTGGGTGGAGCCTCCCTTGCAAACTCTTTCACAAAAAGTTTGGATAAAAAAAAACATTTCTTGTGAGTTGTCTGTTTAAATAAAAGTTTCCGTGCTAAATTGCAACTTCTGATAACTCATATTTGAAGGTACGAGATCAAAAGGCGCCGAGTACAGAAGCGATCATGCGGTATATTGGTGTTGTAGCAAAGAGGAACAAACACTAAAATGCGTCACCCTCTTCAGTGACATCCGGTGGATCTGTCCTTACTGTGCATTGCCCGTGAAAGCTGCTCACTCTCTGAATCTGTGATCTGAGCTGTTGATAAAGCCATAAATGAAGCCATTGGTCAGCCCTTGCTCCTGCAATCAATAAAGGCCTTTACAATTGATGAAGGTGCTGTGCTCTGAAAACAATTTCAATGCCGCTCGAGCTTCAATCCTGTACATTGCCATCACTCGTGCCTCAAGATGCCACCCATTGACAGCCACTAGATCTAGTGTTCCTCCCATCCAAGACCCACCTGTCATCACTGGCACAGATCGTACTGACATGAAGGGCTGGCTTGCGACTGAGGAGTTTGTGAGCGCACTCAATAATTGGGAGCAGGCAGGAAAACTGAGCAACATGGTCTTCTACCTTGTGGTTGTAACAAGCCAGTTGTACAACAACTACACATAAGATGCGGACCAATTTCAAGGCCACTGTTATCGGAGTGTTTAGCCACCCTGCCGTTCGTAAAGCCGTATCTAGACTCAGCAAAATTTTTTTCTTCAGCTGGACTCACTGAGACTCGTAATCACCAAAATATTACTCGCCCGCACTCACTCAGAATCGTGGCTAAATCTGAGTGAGTTGTCTCATAATTAGGATTAGGATGTTGTAGGCAGCCGGCAGATCTAGCCTTGCATAATTTGCAGGCAGTGGCTCCGCCCGGTTTCCTCTTTGCTAATTGTAACTAACGTCCTTTCGTTTGTTGCTTTTTTTAACTAAGCACGGGCAGGCTGATAAAAGGTCGCACTTAGCGCGACGTAAGCCTGCATAAGCTGGCTGCCTCTGTGCTATTCCACATGCAGCATTGTGCCGGTACTCTATCTTGCTGCACCATACCCCAAACATAATTGTCACTCATCACCAGTCACATGCAAGGTTTGTAGCATTAAAAAATTTCAAGAGAAGTCATGACACTTGCTCCTTGAAGAGCCAGTGACCTCACGGAAACACAATACCACTCACCTTGCCACATGGCGAACCTAAATGTTTAAGTTCCTCGAATCAACCTTGCCGTTCCTTCTTAAGCTCACGACACTTAAGCAAATAGTGTTCTACATCACCACTTTCTTTGCGATTCGAGCACAATGGCATCGCGGAGAGTCTGATCTTGTGGAGCCATGCTGTTGTACGCGCTGATCCAGTTCGGATGCAATGAAGCAAGCAGGGCTCTTCCCTTGATAGCCTTTTTGTTACACATGGCTAGTGAGGCATCAGCCATAATGAGTGGAAATGCTTGCGGACAGCTTCTCGTAAGGACGCCAATTGTCCTTGAGAGCCTTCTTCATTGGTGAAAGTTCTAAAGCATTCTGAGCAAGTCTGTCAGCCGCCCCATTAAACGCTATACCCGCATGTGATTTATTTGATTTATTTTCAAATACTGCCAATCCCTCAGGAAGATTATTACAGGGGTGGGAGTTATTTCATACGTGACTGTACACAAGTAATGCGAACAGCAAATTATGCACTCTGTAAGAAATATACATATACATGTATAAACAAAAATTCACAATCTAAATTTACATGCAGTAAGCAATTACATCAAGCATACCACAGCAACAGCAAAATAACATAACTATAAACAGAGGGACATGTGTACGCGTCAAACATCTTCTTCCACGAGTTCAGAGAATAATTCTAGCGTAGGCTGAGTAACAATGAATTCATCTAAGGCATTCCAGTCTCTTACGGCTCATGATAAAAAGAGAAGCGACATACATTGTTAGTAGGACGAAATTATTCTAACGTGAATCCGTGTTTCTTTCGCGTTTCTCTGGAAGAGCTGCATGTAACAAAAGACCTGGGGTTGATCTTAATTTTTTGTGTTACAACAAATACAGGAATTTCAACCTGTGCACTTTTGCTCAGACAAAGTAGCGATGATGATGATATACGGTGTTTTTTGGCGCAAGGGCCATTTAATGGCCAAAGAGCGCCAGTTCATAAAACAGGAATGTGGACAATGATTGTGATTAGCGGCTGTATAAGGGCCATAAAATTCCTCGCAGTAAAGCGGGTAAAAACATACGATTAATAAAATCATGACCATGCCGTGAAAGGTGTGTGTGGTGCGAATAGATGGCAAAAGTTAATGATAATAAAAACGATGGTGGACATGTATGGCATTAGCACAAGTGCCTCACTCGTTCATACCCTCGTCCAAGGGCCGTGAGGCAAGTGCTTTATTGTGTAGCCACCGCAGCGAAAACCTCTCTGGAGAGGTCGTGCTACGGTATGCCCGAGTATAGGACATGAAAGCTATGAATTTCTTTTAAAAACGCTAACAATGATTTGTGACTAAAAAGCAGTTCCCTACCGACGAACATTGCAGGGTGTAAAAGTATATGTTGTCGGTAGGGTGAAGGAAAGTGTTGTTTTCTTAGAGTGTCCAATTGTTTGCACTGAATTAAAATGTGAAGAACTGTTAGTGCTTCACCACATCTGTCGCACAATGGTGGATCGCAGCCAGACAAAAGATATGTGTGTGTCGTGTATGTGTGTCCTATCCTGAGCCTCGTTAATGTTACCTCTGTGTGACGTGATTTTGATACTGGTGGCCAATGGCCAAGGTGTGGCTTGATAACGTGTAGTTTGTTTTGTGTGTGTGTATCCCACTTGCTCTGCCAGTAGTCCCTGAGTTTTCGTTTGAGAGACGGCTTAAGATCAAGGGCCGGGATTGATGTGGGTGTAATGGCGGTGCTTTCGTGGGCGGATGCAGCAAGCTGATCCGCCATCATGTTGCCTTGAATCTCACGGTGCCCTGGCACCCAGCACACAACAACATGTCGGTTGAGTGTGTAGAGTGTGCATAAAATGGAGTAAAGTGAAACGAGGAGAGGGTTTTTTTGTTTTTTAAGACTGTGCAGAGCCGTTACCACACTGAGGGAGTCTGTATAAATTACTGCTTTTTGTATTTGTGATTGTTTGATGTGTTTAGCTGCCACAAGTATCGCGTAAGTTTCCGCTGTGAAGATACTTGTGCCTGGATGTAGAGGGCCAGCATCCGAAAAGGAGGAGCCAACAGCAGCGTAGGACACAGAGGAGTTAGACTTAGAGGCATCTGTAAAAAACTCAGGACGTGTGTATTTGTGTTGAAGTTCAAAGAAGTATGTTCGAATATGGGCAATAGGCGCATGTTTAGTAACTTCTAGGAAAGACACATCGCAATCTATAGTCTGCCACTGCCACGGTGGCAGGTATGCTAAAGGAGCCATTAAACTGTGTTCGAGTGACACTCCAGTGTCCTCAGACCCTTCAGGCGAACTGAGAAGGGCTGCCTCATTGAAGGCCTGTTTTGAAAAAGAATGGAGCTCGACAAGTCATTAATAGTAGAGTATGAGGGGTGCCTCTTGTCTGCTTTCACCTTAAGGAAGTATACAAAGAACATAAAGGTTCTTTGCAGATGAAGCGACCACTCATTTGACTCAACGTAAAGGCTTTCTACGGGGCTGGTGCGAAAAGCACCTGTAGAAAGGCGGATGCCCGAATGGTGCACGGGATCCAGCATCTTCAAAGCACTTTGAGTCGCAGACTGATAAACAATGGCCCCATAATCTAAGCGGGTGCGAATAAGGCTTCTATACAGGTTCATGAGGCATTTCCTGTCACTACCCCACGTAGTACGTGACAACACTTTTATAACATTCATGGCTTTTAAACATTTTGTTTTTAAATACTTTATGTAGGGTACGAATGTCAACTTGTTGTCCAAGATAAAGCCTAAGAATTTATGCTCGGCTTTGACGGACAGACGTTGCCCGTTCAGTCGAATGTCAGGTTCCGAGAGCAGGCCTCTCTTTCGAGAGAACAAGACACACGTGCTTTTTTGTGGGTTAAGTCGAAATCCGTTTTAATCTGCCCATTTGGAGACCTTATTTAAACCCAGCTGAACCTGCCGCTCACACATGGCCAAGTTGCATGACTTGAAGCCAAGCTGAACGTCGTCGACATATGTACAATAGAACATATTGCGGG